ATAGCTCATTGTCTTTACAGTAAACTGGTGGGGGAGCCAGCATTGTTTTAAAAAACGGTGCTATAAACAAACACAGTAACACTGTTTCAAGCTGGTGTGGATTCAAGGAGGACACAAAGGTTCTTAGGTCTCTAGTAACACACAGCTGTGACTGAGGTTCTCTCCCTTTCTGAGGTCGTTGACCCCTTCCACCAAGACTGAAGTCAGAGTGACCTACTCACAAAGGCCACAAGACAGCTGATGCCTGGGCTGCTTTGAACTGGGTTTCTCTGAAACACTATTGTCTTAAAGAAAAAGCCTGTGATCATATATAGTTGAGATTTGCAGCCAAGTTAAGTAACACAAGCATCAATAAGCAATTAAACAAAAACCTAATCAAAAAAAAAATCTTGTGTTCATGCCTAAATGAATAATTTCTATCAACCAACAAATGTTTATTGAATATCTAATATGTACATGTGGTGATGACAAAAAAAATCTAGATTCAAGATTTGTCCTCGAGAAATTGTTAATCTGGGGCAGGCTACAACGCACACAGAGATGATTAGGGACAGAAAATAGGAAGTAGAGAGACCAACAGGGGCTTAAAAAGTCCCGAGGACGCAGAAGGCCTTGTGCGCTGAGGCAGGAAGGAGGCCTTATGGGAAAGAAGATGAAAGGAGGCCACCTTGAAAACCTAGGGAGAGGCAGGTTAACAGGCACATAACTGCACACTGTAGGGGAAAGGTGTGTATGTGACCTTGCGCGTCTCCACACGGGCCACGTGGGCAAGGTTCCACCCTCACCTGCCATCATTTAAGGGACATGGCAAGACTGCTAGTCCTGGGGGGAGTGGGGTCATCTGCCTCCCTGGGTAAGGATGCAAGCTATAAAGCTGCCTGTTAGTGGTGTGCAGTGGGTGTCCCATGACACAGTGACCCACCACTCTTCTGTCAGCGGCCCCCGCTGGGTTTGGGACCTTCCAGTGGGACCAGGGCCCTGGGGAGCTGCACCATGCTGGTCTTGCTGAGGCCGCGGGTGAATCATCAACTCCCCACACCCACCTGGGCGCATCAGCCAAGCCTCGGGAGTGTGGCCAGTCAACCCGCCAGTGCAGGAGTCTCTGCGGCTTAGGGACTGCTTGACGGGTTGGCACACAGAGGTCTGGGAGGAGTGACAGAGGTGGCTAGTGTACTGGCAGGCGAACTAACTTCTCCCAAGTGGAGTGGATGGAAAGAGTAAACCGACACCATTCAGAAAAGACAGAAAGCTGCAGGTGTACCGGTCCCTAGGCTGAGGCACGGCTGGTTGGGATCTTAAATGTAAGTCAGAAAGTGACTTGTCCTGAGGCAGAAGAGACCCCGGGGTTGAATTTAACGAGCTGCTACCTACTGATGAGTGAGGAAAACCATCATTTCTAATTCAGGTTGTGCTCAGCAACTTCCCGCTTTGTTCAATGTGTCCATTGCTGCCCCCAGGCGCACACAAACCTGTGTGAGCAGACAGTGACGAGATCATAGTAAATGGGCAAACGTCTAAACGGGGCGCTTGTGTGAAGTCTCAAGGGGCTGCCTTCTGTACCTGCCACTGCAAACGTGTGCAAACAAGATGGGGCTGCCTTCACAGCATGGGGATTTATTTTATGCTGGTAGGGAAGTGTAAAAGAGTAGCCCGTGTAATTAGAGCCTTCTGGAGAACTCCAGTCTCCACAGAGGAGAGGCCTGTGCACAGGCATCTTTGAGGACGTTTCTCTCATGATCTGTATAGGGGTTCCTAGTGTGTGCACTGATCATGCGCATTTACCTTCAGGTTTCAGATGTTACAGAGGACCTGGCGTCATTCTGTGTAATTATATTCTATTATACATTATGTGATATTCTATTATGTACGTAACACTTGGCCTTATGGAAGGAATGTTGAGTTAAAATGAGACTTTCTTGTACTCACGTTTTTAGGTTCCAAGAAGTGCTTCTAGGTTCAGGGCAGCAGTTCTCTTTAATACGTTATCACAACGCTTGAGTACAGTCTTTGCTGTGTGACAGCAGTTGAGAGTGTGAGCTCTGGGGTCAGTGTGCTGGGGAAATGCTGGCTCCATCTTGGACACTTGGGCATAAGGCACCAAACCTTCTGTCCTTAAATTTCCTTTCAACCAACTCTGGGCAACAGGGCCGATGACAATGCGTATCTCCTGGCGGGGTTGTGAGAATTTAATGAGATAACCACACAAAGTGCTTAGCACACAGGGTGGTACACCACGTCCTATAATTATTACGTGAAACTTATTATTAAAATGCTTACACAATATATCATCATTTTTGATAGCAAGTAAATTGTTACTTAATTAAGTAATCATGATGCTTGATTTTTCCTGTATCTTGTTCTATTTTTATCTTCCTTTGAAAAAAAAAGGGAAGAGTGACTGCTGGGTGGTGATGAGCAGAAAAGGGAGCATGAATGTAATACTTTACACAGAATCACAGTGGTTTCCAACAATGAAATATTGTATGTGGGTTGCTCATGAGTTTGTAGGAATTGATTGTTTTAAAATATGCTTCGATTGCCAAAATTCCCTTGACTGATGACAGCCTGAGTATTTGATATTTTCTTCCAGAAAACAAATGTAAGTCTCTGTTTTATTATATATTTTTAAAGTGCTATGATATCACTAGCCTAGTCATGACACTAGAAATTTACTTTAAGAGATGTGACTTTTTAATATTTGAGTTTTTAAAGGCATCTGGCCCTTATTTAACCATCACATTTACATCCAGTTCCTGCAGGCATGGTTTTGTTGTTTAAGCTTGGCTTGATGCCCTCTGCAGAAAGCCTTTGCTTTGATGAACACAACTCCACTAAAACTGCTAGGGTCCCCTCCCCCCTCTGCCCCCCACCAAGTGTACAGTAAGAGCACAGAAAATTTCATCTTGGATTTCAAATAAGATAAAAATGAGACAGTAACTTGCTGTGGAATCAGCTTTACATGGCCGCCACTGCTATGACATACCCCACTCGATGTCCTTATATTATTTGCAGAAGTGTTTATGTACTATGAAATGTTCAGCCAGAGCATACAGGAAACTGTAAAATATTTTATAAGATGTATATACATGGTTGATGGTAGAGTTTTAAATGCAACCTGGGAAGGTTCTCTCTAAATTCCAGGAGGGCAGATGAGGGAGTCCTTTCTCTGCAGTGACTCGGTTTTATACAAGGGGTTATATGAACTGTCAGAAGTACCTGATGTGGGAACTACATAAAAGTTTTTTTTTTTCTATAAAATCAAAGTTCATAATTTCTAGATTTACTTGTTTTATTTCAGAGCAAGAATCAAATCACAGTTATGTTTATTTGTCTTCTGCATGGTAAAGGCATTACGTGTGGATTGTTTGTTATTTTATAGGAATAAAGAACAGTAATAAATGAAGAATTCTCCCCAGATACAGGAATTATATACACCATTAAAAATATCTGTGCTTTTGATGGTTTTTAAATAACAACTCTTGGTTCTAAAACTGGAACATTATTTATGAATCACATGTGAAGGCAGGAAGGTTAATGACATAGCCTCAAAATGGCATGTTTGGAAAGTTGCATTTCCAAATTCAGGTGAAGGGAGAAATATTTCTATTTCCTTTACCCTCAAATTTACAAGGCAGTGTCAATTTCCCATAAGAGAAGTTACTTATTTACTTATTTATTTTCAAATTCCATCTCTAAAACACACAGGGCTACCAAAACAGACACTATTTTGTGTCTTCAGATTTGATTTACAATTGAATCTGATTTTTATTTTTGTTTTATAGCATCTACCTCATGAAGTCACTGGGAAGAGAAATGAAATAGCAAAGGTGAGGTTCCTGACACAAAGGAGGTGCTCAAAGTATATTAATTCCCTCCTCCCTTTGTTTAAATCGATGTATAACCGACATATTACAGATTATTTAATTAACATCACAGTCCCTCTGAAGATTTGATTTAACATAACACCTATGCTTCGGGATGTGCCCATAATTAATATCATTTAAAAAAATGTAGGTTATTGTCTAAGATAAACATGCCATAAGCCCTGACGTGTCCTGGTGCTGTCTTTCGCACACAGTGTGGGAGAGTGCAGGACCAGACTGGGAATGAGGGACCGTGGATCCGGCCTCTGGTCTGTCACCGCCATTCTTGAGTGACCTTGGAAGAGTCAGTTTTCCTCCCCAGGCCATCATTTTTCAGTTGTAAAACGAGTGGTTTTCTTTTTTTCTTTTCTTTTTTTTTTTTTAACGAGTGGTTGTTTTCAGTGGTCTTTCAGACCATCTTCTGCTCTGACATTTTCAGATTCTACATAACACTTTAATCTTCAGAGAAAAACTTATTTAAATCACAGTTTCTGAAACTTTCCTTCTAGAAATGTTGTTTCTGTTTTCCTATACTCAATGCTTAAGGAAATTTTATTTCACTTAAAATTTGTGTTGTGCAAAAAGTCAAGAAAGAACCTAAGTGTAGAAAGGAAAATAAAATTACAAATATTAATACTGAGCAATTATGGGGACATCTAGGCTGGTTTGGGACGGACATAAATGACCTTGTTTTATTCTAAATTCAGCTCACTGGCTTATGATGAAAAGTGAAAGGTTATTATATGAACTTACTGGGCAAAACCAGATTTTATAAATAATTACCTGTCAGACTGTTCAAGATAGACAAACATACGCCAGACCAACAAAAACACAGACCTGTCATATTTCTGAGAGAAATGTACATTGAGTCTTCCTTCTCTGGGACTATAAGGAGATCAGGTAGAATAAAATGAAGGGAAAAAACCTAAACCCTGTATTTTCTGCCTTGTGCATATTTTAAAATGTATAATGTGGGAGAGGAGGAATTTTGATGTGAAAAATTAGCTCCTGAAAATTTTATACATCTATAAGCCTGGCATCGAAACCAAATACAATAAATGCTGTCGTTTTAAAAGTTAGGATGTTTACTGCAAGCTTATAATTTTCCATGATTAGGGACGCCAAGAAAAATAAGAATGATGATAAAAAGAAAAGTTTAATCATACATTTCACCAAGCACAGATGGAACATCAAAACCCTTTGGCAATTTTTTGATATTATGTATTTGCATTTTTTTGTTGTTTTTGACATGAAGATTTTTTCCAGAATGACTAACATAGAACAGGTAAATGATAGTTAACAAATGTGAACAACACAGTGCAATCACATTAACTGAGCCTCACAATGATCTGGTCACAGGAGGGAAATCTTTCATGCTTCTCATTTCTGTTTATATTAATTCTTTACAAAGGCTGTTTCAGGGTGTGTAAAAACCATGATAAAAGTAAAATTACACAAAACTCCTACTAAAGAATGAGAGAAATAACTTTTTTTTTTTTAATTCAAGTTGAATCAGGAACTGTGTATAGCTGCTGTATTTTGGTTTGGTTCCCAGAGTTACAGTTCCTCATTCACCAGAGAAAGTAGAGATGCCAGAGGGTAATTCAGCCGCTACCAGCAAGAAACTGCCCGGTGCACACCAGGGTTCAGGCGAGAAAGCAGATCGCTGGGCTCCCCTCCTCCTGATTCTAATTGTTTTGCTTTCAGATGGGCATGGTGAGTGTGTCGGGGTGGGCCTGGGATCGGAGGGACAGGGGAAGGGGAGAAATGAAGATGGGGAAGAGAGGTCTACTTGAGAGAAACACACGGCAGATGCGCAGGGGGTTGGGAGGAAGGCAGGGAAACAACACGGACGCTACGCGTGGAGTGAAGGGCAGGGAAGATGTGAGCAGACAGTCCATCAGGCCAATTAGGTCTCTGATTAGTGTGAGTGTATAAAATGGACATTTGTCTCTAAGATCACGTAGATCTCAGCAGCAGATGTCGGAAAGTAAAGTTGGTGGGATTGTGCAGGGGAAAGCGACCATCCTTTTAATTTTGTTTTTTGTCCCAAATCTGGATTACAGAATGCATCAAACAAAACATAGACTAAACACTGAGAGAAAAAAAAAGACACTGCTTTTAAGATGTGAGCTGAGGGCAGTACATCTCGTCCAAATTAAAATTTCAGAATTGTGTGATGTGCATTCTTGTCCACCTACACACCATCCCAAACATCCTGCCATTAATTAGCTAAGTGGCCCATCTAGTAAACAAGACTAAGCATTGAGGGGGCTGGAAAAGGGCTGGAGTCAGCCAGTTGATGGTCACAACAAACCAATCCACTTCACTTGTATTTTATTTTGTCCAAGGAGTGGAACAGAAATCACCTGAACATAACACTGCCTTTCCTGTTGTAGTCAGTCACATCAGCAGGCCAGGAAAGCCATCCCATTCCTGCGGTAAGCACTCTGTCAAAGAAAAAGAAATCTGCAGTGAATTATCCCATCAAATCAAACCGGGAGAGGAGGCAAAAAAAGCAAGCAGAGCTTTCTTCCTGTTTTGTAGACTGCTGGCTGCAACCTAAGAGGGTGCGTGATCTGTACATTGCTGGTGGCCAAGCTCGAGCCACCACTGTGTCAGTCAGCATGGTTAACAAGTGGTTAGCGATTCTATTTTGGGGGAGTGGGAGATGTATGTAAAATAAGACATCACACTCTGTTAATTGATTGTTTGGTTAGGCCGAAGACACATTGTACTGAATCTGTTTGTCCTTTATAAACATGTGTTCTCTATTGAACATGCTCAAGAATCACTTCTAACTAAGTACCCTAATAGTCCATAAATTACTGACTCATTAAATGCTCCCCAGGCCTAATTTATAGTCTCAGCACAAAGCTGTGGGGACAGACACTAATAGAGGCCTTTCTCCCACCCGCCAACAATGCCGTGACCTCTAAGGAGCTCTGTACATTAGACGTTACGGAAAACTTCATTTTTACATAATTATATACATTCATGTATACATAGATGTATATATGGATATTCATGATGGGATAAAAATATTCCTGTAAAGGAAAATGGATCCTAATTGCAATAATATGATATATTCCAGTAAAGAAAGTAAAACGGCATGATTTTTTATCCCGAGAAATACAATTCTGCGTGTCAGAGCTGGAGGAACTGGGCCACACGGGACCTCAGTGACGTGTCCTGAGTTTCACAATGAGACCCATAGTGAAGCAGAATTAAAATCCAGGACTTAGGAATAAACTTCCTCTTTCTACTGCCATTGCTTTCATTATTTAAATTAGGAACAATCATAACCTTCAATTGGAGCTTTTCTACAATCTGTTTTCAGAAAAATGGGAAAATGACAAAAATCTCATT